AACACAGGTTCGTGGGAAAAAGTCAAAAGACTTTAATCAATTTGAATTAGGGCTGTGCAATTAATTGTATTTTAATCGCAATTACGATTTTGGCCTGCCACAATTACGAAAACAACATAATCGAAAAAAACGATTATTTTGCTTTGCTTGGTTGTGACAGTGCAACATATTTGATCTAATTTATTTTAGTCTAATTTATTTGTATTTACATATGTTTAGTAGCTTGTGGAAGTGCGCTCCAAAATATTTGTTGATCTTGTTTATTGGTATTTATTATTTTGATATTATTTATTTAAATGTATCATTTATTTTATTTATTTTTGTATTGGTTTTTCAGTTGAATTATACGTTCAGGGTAATCAACAGTTAAAAAGATACTGTTCAAATTATTATTTGTATTTGTTTTAAAGTTCAATAAATTGATGTTTTCAAAGTCAATGAATAATCGTATTTAATAATCGTGATATCAATTATTGACCAAAATAATCGTGATTATGATTTTTGCCATAATCGCACAGCCCTAATTTGAATTGTTTCGCTCTGCAATAATATAATCATTTAACTGGAGAATTGGTGCCACCTATTGCGTATCTTCCTCCCCTAACTCCTAATCACATTGTCTTTTGCAGATCTTTCGCGAAATTCAGTTAATTTGTGAGTTATATTTGGTTCGAACCTGTCTACTGGTTACTCTTTGTTCATTTCACTCTCAAATGAAAGGTCTTTATTTCATTGAAATCTGATCGAGACAAATTCTGATTCGGAAAATAGTGAAATGATCTCACTCCACTTTCAGATGAATGTGCACTTTGGAGAAACACAAGACTTAACAAGGAGTTTGCATCAATTTAAATTGTTAGTTTTGATCTTGAGGCGTGACATTACGGGGGAACTGTAATGTTTTTGAGTTGTTTTGAGAAATAAAACCTCCTTCCACTTTGTCCTTTATGTGTGAATTACTTGTAGAACTGCAACAGTAGACTACAGCAAACACAAGGAGATTTCCTCTAGTGAAGACAGAACAAACGGTACACCAGCGGACCACAAAAGCAAGTTTAAGTGTGGGTTATAATACTTTAGTGCTTCGGGGTAAAGGTTTACACTCAACTCTTTACAAAGTGGAACTAGACTGAGGCCTCTCTTGTAACACAAATGATACAAATACAAAACACATGTGAGCACTTGCAAAAATGTCCCAGCACACTTAGCTTTTCACAATCACTCGCAGTTATGAATCAGACTCACTCTCTCTTTCAAACACACACACACACACACACACACACACACACACACACACACACACACACACACACACACACACACACACACACACACACACACATGCACGCACACACACACACACACACACACACACACACACACACACACACACACCACACACACACCACACACACACACACACACACGCACACACACACAGTAGCTGTGTCATCATATGAAAGTAGTTCTAAGCTAGAAGTACATTTACATTTACATATCAGACTTGTTTATATTCATAAATACGATTACAGTCGTATTATAATGTACATGTAGTTTTATCATTACATTATCGCACAAAGGAGGCTCGTTCTTTAGATCTATGGAGGGAGCGTGTTCATTGGCTGGCTGAGAAGGAGGAGATTAATCTGATTGGCTCACAGGAGGGAAGTCAAATGTTTTGCTGCAATGCAGAGATTTAGGACACTTCTGACTGATTCACAAAGAGAAACGAACGGTCTGCCCTGATGACTGAACACAGGGACCAGGTGTATTCTTTACAAAGGGAAGGTCATATTGCCTCTTACTCTTAAACATATTTAACTGTTAGAACTTCACCAATGACGTAATGTAATCTGTTTTACTGTTATATCACTCCAGTTATTTTGCTAATTTCTCCTACAAATATTTCTATGACCCATAATGGGAAAGTCACAAGAACAAATCTCAGCAATTTCCTACTACGTAGTCAAAATATGAGTGCAATCAGAAACATGTTCAGCCATCACTGGGTGTATTGGATGTCTGTTTTTCTGTAAATATACAGTAAACCTTCCGGATTGACATTAAATCTAAAATAACTGAAATTGAATTGAACGCTAAACACATTTTTGCCTCTGACACAAAGGACTTGACTGGAGTGTTTTTTTTCCAGTTCACAGGTGGAAGCTGGGGTGGTGGTGGGGCAACCCAGTCTCACGGCATTTTGTGTTATTAGTCACGAAATTAATTTTATCTATTGATTCGTGTTCACCAACACGATTTTCCCCTTTTTTTCGTGTCACACAGAACGATTTTCAAAGCAATGTATTTCTATTGGTAGTATGTTTCGTGCCTGCAACACGTCTTTTGTCCGGTCGGGTCTTGGAAGACCAGAAGCTGTGTGGTTCATAAAAACATGTTCTTACTCAATATCTTACCCTAAGCCTAACCCTATCCCTTTTATTTTAAATTGTATAATGTCTGAGTTTTTTTGCCGTCAGTGAGGAAAAGAAATGTCTCAGAGCCTCAGAATACTGACATCTGTATTTTATGTCATCTTTTTTTCCTTCTAATTTGTTATTATTTGGTGCAGGCACGAAACATACTACCAATAGAAATACATTGCTTCTAAAATCGTTCTGTGTCAGAATACTTAAATCTGTATTTTTTTAAATGTGTTTTTCCTTCTAATTTGTTATTATTTACATTGCTTTTAAAATCGTTCTGTGTGACACGAAAAAAATGGCGAAATCGTGTTGGTGAACACGAATCAATAGATTAATTTCGTGACTATAACACAAAATGCCGTGAGACTGTGTTGGGTGGGGTGGTGGGGGGGCAGGCGAGCAGCAGCAACATGAAACACAGCAGCAGGAACATGAACGTAGCAGTAGCAAGTGAACACAGCAGCAGCAACATAGCGAGGCAGAGGCAGGCAGACCTGGCAGCTTCAATAGAGCGGCATGTTTAGGAGAATGTGTTTGGTTGGTTGTCAGAGGGACGAGGTGCGTCACGTGTTAATGTATCATTGGTGCTCGAGGTGACTGCCTGAACTAGCTCGCAGGCTTCGCCCCATTTTTGGCAAGGGAAATCTTGAGTCTCAGCTCCTCCAACAAGCTAATGGAGGTAGCCAACAACTTATACAAAGCAAGAAAGGCCATCGTTAGGCGGACATGTATAGCAACGTTTATTTAGTTTGCCATCAACAATGGCTGCTGCCTTGTGCCTGTAGCTATGCTAATCTCACTGTTACGAGACTTTTTCCCTCAAGTCGTAACATTTCAACTAGCTTAGACGCTTGTCTGTTCACACAAATGTGCTAAATTTAAGAGTAAGATGAGAAGGTGAATAGCACTTAAGAGTTTATATTCTAATTGTAAAGCTACAACCAGAGGACAGTTAGCTTAGCTTGCGAAAAAAAGTTAGCTAGGTTTTATCAGCAATGATTAATCAGTCATTACAAGCTGTAACGACTTTGCTTTCTGTGTGTTTTCAGTCTTTGTGCTAAGCTAACCACCTCCTAGCCTTTGAACTAACTCTCTCCCATGTTGATCCGATGGAATAGATACGTTTTGAAGTTGGCCGTTACTAACAGCTTCAAACTGTTCAGCTATCTGCCGTCATTCACGTTCACAAACAGGTGAGCACTTGTAAACAAACATTAACCACCAAGGCTTCCTCTTCAACCTTTTGCAAATTGATTTTAGATCTGAGCTGAGTGCAGCAAGTTCCTCGCCCTCCACCGACTATCAAAGCGTTTCCTCTCTGACATTTAGGGAGGAAGAAGAAAAAGGGGGGATAGCAGGACATTGGGAGACAAAAGAGGACAGAAGGCTAGTTTTAGCTTTTCATGTGAAACAAGAATGAATAATGGAGGCAGGTTTGCCCTTTCAGAGAAATACCGTTGCTGTCCTTTGGCCATAATTACTGTCCTGATTATCCGCACTCAACGCTGTACTAGTGGCCCCTTCTGTTGCTACAATTTCTTGATTATAGGTTTCTGTGTCCGTCCAGTTTTGCTGCACAAGAATCGAAATGGATTTCTTTTCTTTTTTTGATGCAGAGACACAGTTGAACGTATCCAATGCACGTATACCAATGTGGAAATGTAATAACTTAAAGGGGACCTATCATGCAAAATGCACTTGTGTACGTCTTTTCTACATGAATATGTGTCCCCGGTGTTCCAGGGAACTCACCAAGTGTCAGAAAACACAACCCTCTCTATTTTCCTCCATACCCAAATCTCTAAAAAAGGGGCTGCAACGGATCTGATAAAAACTGATCCAGATTTGAACACTGTCCTGACGTCAGGACGGTGGCGCTACGGCTATTGGGCCAACTCCACCAATCAGGAGGAGACAGCCACGGCCATTGCCGTTCGAAAGCGCTGGAGATGCTGTAGTACATATGCCAGGCCTGTAGGTGGTGCTGTTCTCACTGAATCTGCCCTTGCAAAAACAGAGCTAACATTTTTCAAATTGAGCGAAATGAGGCATGGCTAAAATGCATGATCTGTTGGTATTTTGAAAAAAAAAAAGTATAAATATGCCTTATATAGGTATGGTCCTACACTATATTATTATAATATAGCATGATAGGTCCACTTTAAATTATATAAATAGTAATACAAAATTAATTAAAACTAAGATAAAACCTTAATTAAACCTGTTAATGAAATACTAAAAATAGCTTTTTTCTGAATAATTTAGCTTTGATTTATTACAGACTGCTGGTTTAATTTGCTTAATTTATGTCATTTTAGACAAGAAATAGTCATTACAAATGTGAAGTTGAATGTCAAATGATTATTTCCTGTTGCCCAATGAAACTGTAGCATTGACGTAAAGCTAATCACGAAGCGAGCCATGTAGACGTCATGTTCAATGCCAGATAAGGCTATATTCTAACCTAATTAGGTGTCCTTTTAATAAAAGACATATAATCATTCTGATAAGATATTGATTTAGTGAGCACGTGTGAAATGCTTCAGGCACTGAGCAGCACATCAGTATTCTCAGACATTCATCACCTGCCTGACTCATGCTTATTATAGAGAATAAAGCGAGTGGACAGTGTGCTGTAGTCTTTCTTTAAAAGCCACACAACTGGTTCTGGATTTGGCGTTTGAGGAACTACTGCACACACACTAACACATGCAGAGGGGTCAGTTTGATCTGGGCTTCTAAAGTCTATTTTTCTTGTAAGATCCACGTGCGAGTTCTAGCATATGGACACCTAATAACACCTGCGCATATTGTTTATTAATTTAATTCTCTCTGTGTCAGCATACCATTTGCTTCTCTCTTGTCCCTCTAGCTGGACCATGTGGACTAAACAACAAACCCTGTGTTGGTTTAATGCCATTGCTGCTTTTTCAAATAGTCCCATTGTCGTTTAAGTGGTATCAATCTTTTAATCTAACTCTCAAAAGGAAAGCAAATGAGCATATCTCCCCCGAAAAACCTGTGAAATCCATGTTTACTTGAGTAAATTGGAAGCAAATTGCTTTGGAAATATATAATTAAGAATGATGGTCTGATTAGTCATTTGGGGAAATTAGGACACATGTGCAATGTCTGGGGAAATTTGGTAGTAAAAGTGCGTCAGTGTGTACAGCTCACCTGTACTGGAAATAAAAGAATGGCATCAATCGGATGTCCAATGTTATTCAAACACAGCTTTTTGCCAGTCATCACTGCCTCAAATAAGGAATAAGCGTGACCTCCTCCGCCTCCTCCCAAAATCTGCATCCCTCCCTTTCCTTCCTCTCTCCTCCCTCCTCTCATCCTCCTCCCTTCTCTTGTTTCAGTTCAACTCATCCCCCATCCATCCACTCCCTCCCTTCCTGTCTCCCCCCATGCCTCTCTCTACTTCTGCATGTCACACTGCAGCAGTAGGACGATGGACGGGTCGGACTTGGCGGCTTCTTTGAACTCGTCCAGGCTGATCTCATCGTTGTGGTCCTTGTCCATCTTGGAGAAGATCTTGTCCACACGCTGCTGAGGGGTCAGCCCGTCCTCGTTCATCCGCATCATGATCACAGTGCCGACCATCTTGTAGATGGCCTGAGGAGAAGGAGAGAAACAATAAATGTGAGATTTTGTCATTAAAAGAAAGGATTTCACCTAAAGGAGCAGTCATGGATGGATTACTGAACCGGTCTCCCTGTCAGGTGCCCTCCTGGCCTTTACTTATCAAATGTACCAAGCACGAATAGACTCAAAAAGTGACAAACAAAAATAGAATTACTACGGAGGGACACACAAACTCTACTAAAACACCAAAACAGCTACAAAAAAATGAAAACAGCTGTAATCAAACACAAAGATACCCACAGCAACATTTAGGATACACCAAATGGCCACAAGAAGACACACACTTATCACAACAGTTCACAAAATGACTACAAAGGCATGCAAACGACTGCAAGAAGAGACAAAATGACGACAAAATTAGCACAACGAGACACACAATGACCACACTGATATGCAACACTACTACAAAGAGTCACCAAATGACCACAAGTAGACAGGAAATGACTACAAAGTGACGTGGAATTACCATAAAATGACAAATAATGACCACAACGAGGCACAAAACCACCCCAAAAAGTCTGTCATTTTGGCCATTTTGCATACAAGGGATAACTCATATTCTGCCTAAAGTGTCCGGCAGTGGCTCAGTCAGTCGGGGCTTGGACTGTGAGCTGTAGAGTCGCCGGTTCAAGTCCCCGACCAGACCTAAAATATGGAGTGTGGACTGCTACTTGGAGAGGTCCCAGTTCACCTCCTGCCCTGCCGTGGTGCCCTTGAGCAAGGCACCGGACACCCTCACTCCCATTGCTCCCCGGGCGCTGTACAATAGCTGCCCACTGCTCCTGGTGCTAGACTCCTGGTACTAGACTCCTGGTACTAGACTCCTGGTACTAGACTCCTGGTGCTAGACTCCTAGTACTAGACTCCTGGTACTAGACTCCTGGTACTAGACTCCTAGTACTAGACTCCTAGTACTAGACTCCTGGTGCTAGACTCCTGGTACTAGACTCCTGGTACTAGACTCCTAGTACTAGACTCCTAGTACTAGACTCCTGGTGCTAGACTCCTGGTACTAGACTCCTGGTACTAGACTCCTGGTACTAGACTCCTAGTACTAGACTCCTAGTACTAGACTCCTGGTGCTAGACTCCTGGTACTAGACTCCTGGTACTAGACTCCTAGTACTAGACTCCTAGTACTAGACTCCTGGTGCTAGACTCCTGGTACTAGACTCCTGGTACTAGACTCCTGGTACTAGACTCCTAGTACTAGACTCCTGGTACTAGACTCCTGGTACTAGACTCCTATTACTAGACTCCTGGTACTAGACTCCTGGTACTAGACTCCTGGTACTAGACTCCTGGTACTAGACTCCTATTACTAGACTCCTAGTACTAGACTCCTGGTACTAGACTCCTGGTACTAGACTCCTAGTACTAGACTCCTGGTACTAGACTCCTGGTACTAGACTCCTGGTACTAGACTCCTGGTGCTAGACTCCTGGTACTAGACTCCTGGTACTAGACTCCTGGTACTAGACTCCTAGTACTAGACTCCTGGTACTAGACTCCTGGTACTAGACTCCTATTACTAGACTCCTGGTACTAGACTCCTGGTACTAGACTCCTGGTACTAGACTCCTGGTACTAGACTCCTATTACTAGACTCCTAGTACTAGACTCCTGGTACTAGACTCCTGGTACTAGACTCCTAGTACTAGACTCCTGGTACTAGATTCCTGGTACTAGACTCCTGGTACTAGACTCCTGGTACTAGACTCCTAGTACTAGACTCCTATTACTAGACTCCTAGTACTAGACTCCTAGTACTAGACTCCTGGTACTAGACTCCTAGTACTAGACTCCTGGTGCTAGACTCCTGGTACTAGACTCCTGGTTCTAGACTCCTAGTACTAGACTCCTAGTACTAGACTCCTGGTACTAGACTCCTGGTACTAGACTCCTATTACTAGACTCCTGGTACTAGACTCCTGGTACTAGACTCCTGGTACTAGACTCCTGGTACTAGACTCCTATTACTAGACTCCTAGTACTAGACTCCTGGTACTAGACTCCTGGTACTAGACTCCTAGTACTAGACTCCTGGTACTAGACTCCTGGTACTAGACTCCTGGTACTAGACTCCTGGTACTAGACTCCTATTACTAGACTCCTGGTACTAGACTCCTGGTACTAGACTCCTGGTACTAGACTCCTGGTACTAGACTCCTATTACTAGACTCCTAGTACTAGACTCCTGGTACTAGACTCCTGGTACTAGACTCCTGGTACTAGACTCCTGGTTCTAGACTCCTAGTACTAGACTCCTAGTACTAGACTCCTGGTACTAGACTCCTGGTACTAGACTCCTGGTACTAGACTCCTGGTTCTAGACTCCTAGTACTAGACTCCTAGTACTAGACTCCTGGTACTAGACTCCTGGTACTAGACTCCTATTACTAGACTCCTGGTACTAGACTCCTGGTACTAGACTCCTGGTACTAGACTCCTGGTACTAGACTCCTGGTACTAGACTCCTAGTACTAGACTCCTAGTACTAGACTCCTAGTACTAGACTCCTGGTACTAGACTCCTGGTACTAGACTCCTGGTACTAGACTCCTGGTGCTAGACTCCTAGTACTAGACTCCTGGTACTAGACTCCTGGTACTAGACTCCTGGTTCTAGACTCCTAGTACTAGACTCCTAGTACTAGACTCCTGGTACTAGACTCCTGGTACTAGACTCCTGGTTCTAGACTCCTAGTACTAGACTCCTAGTACTAGACTCCTAGTACTAGACTCCTGGTACTAGACTCCTGGTACTAGACTCCTGGTTCTAGGATGGGTTAAATGCAGAGGCCAAATGTCACTGTGTCTGCTGTGTGCTCTGCATGTGTGACCATTACAGAGGGTTTCATCCCTCCCAATTCTATTCTATAGAACCAGTAAAACCTCACCAACGAGTTCCTACATTGAATATTCTGCGGCACACACTGATTCCCTCCAGGCAAACACAAACCTCGATGATCTCCAGCATCTCCTGTCGAGTGATCTTCCCATCTCCGTCCAGATCGTACATGTTGAAGGCCCAGTTGAGTTTCTGCTCGAAGCTTCCCCTGGAGGTGATGGACAGAGCGCAGATGAACTCTCTGAAGTCGATGGTCCCATCGCCGTTCTTGTCAAACGTCCGAAATGCATGCTGGGCGAACTTTGAAGCGTCACCATACGGGAAAAACTGAGTGAGAAAGAGAAAAAAAGAGGTGACGCATACAGCATCAGTTGTATTGGGCTTGATTGCTTTGAAAGACCCTTTTGAGTCGGACCCTCAGCTGTGAACATGATTACATGGTTTATGTTTTCGGGCCGGTCTGAATACATGTTGCTTGTGTGGAAAATCGATGCTTGCATGCTGGTGTATTCTTCCCACTCTCACTGCCAATCATCCTCAAGTACAACAAAGCCTGCAGCAATGTTGTGGTCCTTGTGGTCGAATGGTTCACAAAACCCAATACATTTAAGAATTCATCTTTAACTTAAGCGTTAATAACAACGCTTATGCTGTGTCCAACTGCACAGGGAATGTTCTTAGTTGAAGGACACATTTTAAAGATTAAGTGCTGCAATTTGGGGACTTTAAAATGAAACTTTACTGTAATTCACAAAAACAGGTACAGGAAAACATTCCTGCCTTCTGCAATAAAGTATCCATCTATCTATCTATCTATCTATCTATCTATCTATCTATCTATCTATCTATCTATCTATCTATCTATCTATCTATCTATCTATCTATCTATCTATCTATCTATCTATCTATCTATCTATCTATCTATCTATCTATCTATCCATCCATCCATCCATCCATCCATCCATCCATCCTCCATCCATCCATCCATCCATCCATCCATCCATCCATCCATCCATCCATCCATCTATCTATCTATCTATCTATCTATCTAATTACTGTTGAACTTCAATCCATACACACACTATCAATATTACGCCAATAACGTGTAGATTTGCAGCCTGATGTAAAGAAGCACCATTTTTAAAATTGCATGATCAAAGCGGACATATATTGCAATTGGTTTGTATTTGTATGATATACAATATATATATATTGTCCAAAGGAGTTACAGGCATAAATAGAGGTTTATCCCCCAGAACCCAACAATGCTGTGAGTCATCTACGAGGTCACTTTTGATATAACTATGTGGAAAAGACAACTTCCACTGCAGGCAACTGCTATGGAAAACACTGTGTTTCCCCACAATGTGTACACTCTCTAGCCCTGCTTATTACTGCATATTAAACCCCCGTGATTTCTCTTCCTCAGCTTCATGCCACTTTCTTTCCTCCCCCCTTACCTTAACATAGAGCTGCTGAAACTCCTCCAGGTTGAGGATGCCGGTGGGACAGTCTTTGAGGAAACCTTTGTACCACTGCTTCAGCTCAGCCTCGTTGAATTCGGTGTTCTTGGTCAGGTCGTCCAGAACCTCCGGGGCCAGCTTACTGTTGTGTTTCCCCATGATGCTTCACCTCTCTGGGGGGAGGAGGGCAGAGAGAGAGAGAGAGAGGGTGAGGAGGTGCTAGACAAACCACAGCAACAGCAGTAAAGCCTTGTGTTGTTGAAACAGCACAGGGCTCAGGTGGGACGCATGCAAACAACGAATTACCTGCGCAGATGCACTCAGAGAGGCATGTGTTTATGTGCCTTTGTCTGACAAAACATACCTCTGATTTGGTTGGACATGTAATCCTACCGACTAACATGTCTTCTTCTCATACTGTATATGCCTTGAAAAGTGAACCTATTTGACTATTAAAGGCACAATAACTAGAGTTTTCCCAAAAAACACCACTGACAGATCCAAATGAATTACATTCATTTAGCTTTTCTGGAAGTTCAAACACAAATGTATGCAGATGATAAAGTGTTATAAGGTTATGAAACTAGGAAAGCAGAAGTAACTGAGAAATGAATGGCATTGTTATACAATATATATCGCTGCCATGTCTTTAGAAGACACACTGTGCTCATTATGGAGGGTTTCAAGCAGTTTTTAGACTGGTGTCTTATATCTAGGAATCTTTAAGATATGGCACTCATCAAGAAACTTTGGCAAACTCATGCAAAGAACATCCAGAAACTCTACGAAGCCTGCTGTACAATTGGACAATTAGCATTTTGTTGTGAAAGCAGCACCCCGTTCAGTTTCCTATTTCCACATAAAAAAATACAAATAATCCAGCCTAGATATTTGAACTAAATCACCAACTCTACAGCTTCCCAGTTCAGTTCAGTTGCCTGCTTTCAGTTGTTTTCGGTGTGCAAATTCCAATTAGCTGTAATGCTAATCCCGGTAAATTGTGCACTGTCCACTATAATATATAAAAAAGAAAATCTCCATTTGACAAATGTAATCATCTGTTTGAATGATGTGTTAAAATGTTGAGTTAAAGCAGTTCACATACAAATTGTTATGCTACAAAAGCTCTATCCATTTTTATAATGACTCATATAATTCCTGTGTGAGCTAAGATCGTAAAAGCATCATTGCTTTGTTGGCTAATAAAATGGCCCATTAGCCTGCCTGGCTCCACACCACACACACACACATGCACACACACACGCACACACGCACACACACACACATACACACACGGCTGAGCACCACTGCAGTGCCTTCATGACGCCACCTCTGTCTGACACACCACACACACACACACACACACACACACACACACACACACACACACACACACACACACACACACACACACACACACACACACACACACACACACACACACACACACACACACACACACACACACACACACACACACACACACACACACACACACACGGCTGAGCACCACTGCAGTGAGTGCCTTCATGACGCCACCTCTGTCTGACAGCTTTCACACCAGGTCAAGTCGAGCCTAGCCACCACAAATCCTCCTAAATAGCAGAGAGAGTGTAGGGGCAGTATAGAGGCGGAAATATCACCTAGTGAGTCATCCACAGGGAAGCAACTCAAATCCAAGTCACCGCAAAGTGCACACATTTTATTCCCATGAGAAAACAGGAGGTGCTGTACAAGAGCTGACCCTAGAGGAAAAGCAATAAAGCAGAGACAAGACGTTCTAGATGTATCTTGCTTTGGAAAGGGCACCTGTGATCTTTCAAAGTTAAAATACAAAATTGAATGTTTTTCTTTGTCAGAGATGAATCCTGCTGTTGTGCGTGCCTGGATGACGAATATAAAAGCAGGTGCATCCAGCTGGGCATCATCACTGCAGTCCTGAACAATACAAACATCTTCCAACATCGTCATAGCTGGAAATAGCTTCAGCTTTTACCGTGTTTATAACAGAACCCAGCGTCAGAGTGAACCATCAAAAAGCAATTGAAAGTGTTTAATTTCCAGGACCGGTTCCCTTCAGAGGAATGACTCACTGTTTTTCCGAGGTAAAGTTATTCTAACAGCCATTTGTCTAAACAGGCAAGCACTCTGATTGATTGATTTTGCATATTTTCAGACAAATAATCTAAAATATCCAAAGGACAACGTGTTCAAGTGAAAACACTTATTTCCAATATGGTGCCAAGCAAGAAAATGGTTTTATAGTCATGTCACCAAAATAATGGAAATAACAATTTGATGTCATGTACATTTCACAAGTTCCCCCGTTGCAGAGAAAGGTCTTGTTCTGACTTTAATGAGCTACTCTTGAACTTAACGAGTAAAAATCATGCCTGCACCTCTTTTCACCCTCTGTCTGAAACCAGAGCCCAGTCTGCTCTGATTGGTCTGTTGTGAACGGCCAGAAGATCAAGTACAATATGTTGGAGCGCTAGCCAATAGAAGTACAAGTGTTGTGGAGGTAAACAAAGGAGTCCAATGGATGGGAATGTAGCCTTTACAGACCATTTACATGCACACAATCCTTTATAACACACTACAGGAAAGGGAGAACCCCAGAAAGCATATTAGGGCCTCTTTAAAGACGTGATGTGTAGGGAGATGCTGTTCAACGACATGGCATCGATTTTTAAAAAACAAAAGATTCCAAAACATACACACAAATATGTGCTTAGAAAAATGTACACACACAGTTTCCTATTAAGTAATGCAGCATGGAGGTAGACGTTGTTGCACTACCAAGGTGTTCATGTTGTGATCACCTACCATTTTCCCCTGAGAGGAAGGAGGTCACTGAGGAGGGATCAATACACTGAAGGTGTTTCACTCCCCTCGCTGTCTTCAATGTGTATAAGTCTTTGCCTCGAGCCGCAGACATTGAAAATGAAAGTTTAACTATCTCTGAATCATTGATGGTGTCCATTCAGGCGGCTCTGGCTGCATCAACAAAGACGAACACAAGCGTCCCAACTCATGCCACAAGCGCTGGGTTTGTTTAGTACACACACACACAAACACACAAAACTCCACAGAGTTCATGTCACGCTTCTTTCTGCAGCAGATGAGATGTTATCCCTCTGTCAGGGAAGCAAACGTAGCAGATAATAGAGTTTCCTGTGACTAGCCAGGCGAGAAAGCACACTGGAAAATACATCTAAATCAACACTGCTCACATCAGAAAACAGGCAACCCGTTGGTTTATTTCGAATTGTTCCCAGATCTAACGCCAGTCAGGTGCTAAAGTCTGCATCAGCTCATCTTACTGAGGCAGAAACCTATTGTTGGAGACTGTTCAGGAATTGGAAGCTACCATTATTGTTCTTGGATTAGCAAATAAATACAATCTCTGTGGCACCAATGCGATGCTTTCAGAGTACAGATAAACTCAAATGGTGCCTGCAATGAAGATGATAATGCTTAATTCATTGCTTTAACAAATGCTTGTCATATCGTAGACAATGTGAATGCATTAAATATGGGCTCTTTGAGTACCTGTTAATGTAGACTGGATCCAGGCATCTGAGTTCCTGTTCACGACTACAATTGCTTTAATGATTTAAAGGTCACCTATCATGCTATTTTTAGGCAATAGCATAGGTCTCAGATATATACAAATATATAAAAAACATGTCTATGAATTGCTTTGCTCAAAATACCAAACGGATCACCCATTCTAGCCATGCCTCATATCCCTCTGTTTCACTTCCTGTTTCAAAAGTGCTGATTTAAAAAAAAAAAAATTATGAAAAAGAGGGGGTGGAGCTTATGCGGGAGATTCTACCGGCAGATTCTGCGGTGATGAAACGCCATATCATGGATTATCAAGGATTCTCTCTGAAACAGTATGGAGCTCAAAGGCTTTCTCTCTTGCCGGTTATACCACAAGGTGAGTTCCTTTTTATTTCCTGCTTCTTCACACACATGCTCTCCAGTACAGGTTAGCTCTGAGTGTTAGCCATGCTAATGTAAACACCGACCATATTACGTCCAAAACAGTCGGGCATTGTTTCTGATAGCAACGTTTCTGATAGGGCCGTGGGTCCACATTTCAGATATTACGTCATATCGGACGCTAATCTGGATCAGCTCCGTTGTTCCCCCGTTTTTAGAGATTTGGGTACGGAGGAAAAGAGAGAGGGTTTTATTTTCTGACGCTGCGTGAGTTCCCCGACACACCGGGGACACATCTTTATACAAGACATCACAAAGTGCATTTTGCATGATAGGTCTGTGGTTGTGCTAATGGAGATGTTACATTTTTTAACCTGCCATAAAAAGAGCCACATCCACGGAAAAAAGCTACAGGAAACATGTCAGAGAATTGGCACCAATTGTGGATAATATCTACCAGTGACGTGCGGTGAGGTTCATGGCTGGTGAGGCACTGACTCTTTCAGAGTCAGATTTACAAATATTATATTTTGACCTTAATCGAAATATTCTGTTATTTTCAAAAGCTTTTTTAGTCTGATGCTATGATTAATTTTAAACAGACCGATCAACAAAAGGATACCCAAAATCGCCGTTGTACGATGAGACCAGCGAGCCTAAATATCATATATACGTGAAATAAGTTATTTAGAGACTATGGATGGCGAGGATAAATGTAATAAAGGGATCTACATACATTACATTGGTGACCTACAGTGAGATGGGAACAGGCATGCGCTTAGGGCCCGCTTTCCAGACAGTTTCTGTGGGGTGACGCATTCTGAGGTGAGGCAGATCTCATCTGTGCCTCACCTCACCCCACAGTAACTGGCTTGAGCGCGCTCACTAAATAAGTGGCCGCGCTAAATTAGTGCCCGCGCTCCAGCAAGTTACTGTGGGCTTACGTGAGGCAGTGCTCGTCCCTGCCTCACTTCTCATCGCTCCCGTAGCGGAGCTCGGCAAAATTGCTGATTTTGACTATAAAATGCGATTGGAATCAAACAGAAATCACACTTACACAAGATCAGTGGAGACATTTTATTATTATTATTATTTAGTTTTTCTTTAATTGTTTTTCCGTTACATTGGAGTATGACAGGTGAGGCTCTGCCTCCCCTGCCTCCACTGACTGCACGTCGCTGGTATCTACGCAGCGTTACAGGTTTATAAGTTGACTTAAAAA